ATGTGGATGCTTACGTGACAGACGGCTGCAGCGGTGTTATATCTATGGCCGGCGGGTCTTTATATCGCAGCTCTTCATAAAGATCATTTAATGTGACCACTTTCATGTTCTCATCAGGCTCTGAAAATACAGTACACTCACTTTATGACAACAACACACAACTGTGTCTTTAATATAATAACATTATACAATGTAAAATCATATCATACAATGTTTTATATATAGCACTTGCATTTCATTGCTCTTTTGTTAGTTTTAAATTGCTTCTATTGTCCTCATTTGTAAGTCGCTTTGGATAAAAGCATCTGCTAAATGACTAAATGTAAATGTTAAAGTTTACAGTAACTATCATGTAGAAGTACACAACATGACTCTGGACATTTAACATATTAAACATATTTAAAACCTTTTACCTCTTTTTTAATATATTTACATTTTTAATATATATTTATGCATTTCAAACTATTCTGAACTTCTATATTCTGCTCACCAAGGCTGGATTTATTTGATCAGAACTGTGATTAATTGTGAAATATCATTACAGTTTAAAAGAGCTGTTTTCTATGTGAATAGATTATAAAATGTAATTTATTTCTGTGATCAAAGCTGAATTTTCAGCATCACTGCTCCAGTCTTCAGTGTCACATGATCTTCAGAAATCATCTTAATCGATCATTAAGAAACATTTCTGATTATTGTCAATGTCCAAAACAGTTGTGCTGCTTCATATTTTTCTGAAAAACCATGATACAATTAATTTTTCAGGATTCTTTGATAAATAAAACATTCCAAATGTTTTACTATCACTTTTGATCAATTTAATCCATCCTTGATTAATAAAAGTATTACATTTAAAATTATCTTTAATACATTATCTTTTGAATTATTGTGGAAATAAGCTTAATTTGCCAGAATGCTATAATGTACGCAAAATGTACATGTCAATACTGATTTCCAGTATTTTATCAGTATGGTGAAAATTTTGTATATATAATATAAACATATATAATATATATAATATAAATATTAAATGATAAACAAACAAATAAACAAGCAATTAGGCAAAAAAATAAAATGCAAATATTCTGTTTATATAAAAATAGTAATGAAAATAAATTTGTAAGAAATTAAATATTTAAATATGAATATAATAAATATAAATATTACATAAAGAAATAAATAAGCAATTACGCAAACAAAAAACATGTTTAACTGCCTTTAATTTATGCTGATTTACATTAAAATATGTCTCTATAGTGGTGGACATAAACTAAAACAAAAACATTTTATTTAAATGTCAAATAATATTATCACAATGCAAAAAGTCTTAAAAGTAGGCTGAAATATCTTTATGGAAAGTTTGATTTTCCTCTTTTGATTTGGGGTGAAATGTGACCTAGAAACATTTTTATCCCATGCATACATAATCAAACTGACCTTCTCCGTTTGCTTTCTCACCATTACACTCAGGAGGAACAAGAGTCATACACCTGCGATGACAATTGTACTTACAGTCTGAAGAGAAACACAGAGAAGTTATTGCTCTTTCACAGCTCAGAAGACTTAAAGGAGAAGTAAGCGGTTTCTGAGAAACACTGTTGAAAGTGCACCAAAACACAGTTCCAGCTAATCACCAGTAAGGGGCGTGTCCACTCATGATGGGGGAGGGGCCTGTCGCATAGCATGTTCATTAGTTTGGGGGCGGAGCTCTCAAGATAGGGGCGTGTTTGTTTTGGTAATTTCAAATATCAACAGTTTCTCAGAAGTCGCGTACTGCACCTTTAAAGGAATAGTTCACCCAAAAATGAAAATTCTGTCATTCATTTCTCATCCTCGTGTCGTTCCAAACCCATAAGACCTTCATTCATCTTCGGAACACAAATTAAAATACTTTTGATGGAATCTGAGAGCTCTCTGACCCTCCCATAGACAGCAACGCAACTGAAATGTTCCCAGGCCCAGAAACGTAGCAAGGACATCGGTAAAACAGTCCATGTGACATCAGTGGTTCAACCGTAATTTTACGAAGCTATGAGAATACCTTTTGTGCGCAAAGAAAACTAAAATAATGACTTCCTTGCTACGTTTCTGGACCTGGGAACATGTCAGGGGGGTATTCCAGAAAGCAGGTTATATGACATACCCGGGTTTGTTTAAGGGTAAGTAAGCGGATAAACTCAGCTTTCGGTTCCAAAAACGGAGGTAACGTTCAGTGCATGTAAGCAGCCATAGCAACTTATTCTCTGAACACAACCTGCTCCGGAGTAGGTCATGTTTCAGGGTTAAGGTCTTTGCACACTGAGTCCGAAATTTTTGTATGCGTTTTTTCGTATTCGTCATCCTTTCCAATCAAAATGCTTGCTACAGATGCGAAAACGCAGAAAATCGAACCTGGTCCGAATTTTTTTTTGATGGACGAAAGTTTTGGAGGCAGTGTGTAAACGTGATTGACAAAATGTGAGGTCGTATTTATTTTTTAACATGCAAAAATTTCGGACGTGCAAAGACCTTTAGTTCACTTCAGCGCTATCAGATATATATATATATAGTTGTATGATGTGTTAATTATAAGCGCTATTAAATTTACTATATAAATTATATTATTCTAATATGTTATATTTATTCTATTGTCATATATAATAGTTATCAATATATATGAATTATAAAACATTATTATAACAAGGTAATTTTTATTTCATTCTAATATACTTATATTTTATTGTCATGGATCTGCATTTTCTATAATATATTTCTATAATAAAATGCATATGTGATATTTCTTATTATATAATTAGCATCAAACAAACAATATAGTTCTTATTCTCAGTGATTAAAAGAATAAACGAAAAAAAATATGACAAATGATTGCACAACCATCAGTTAGGTGGCGATATACACTAAGCATGTAAATGACCATTGAACAGAAGAAGAAGAAGAAAGAAACAGCATGGCGTGCTTTTTCTTAGCGTCCGTTTTCATAGTGACTCATCGATTCGTCGCTCTGTTGAGAATGTCTTGTGTGTTAACTAGGGCTTTCAAAAAAATGTTGAATTTCGAATGTTCGGCGAATTTAAAATAAAAATCCATGATCTGAGGGAGAAAAAAACCAGACAAAGCCCCTTTAAGGCAATTCATGTAACTCGGCAGCCATCTGTGAAACGTCTCTCGGGCATGCAAGTGCAGCTCCTATCTCTTTGAATGGGGAAACATCAAATTCTCCAAAACTGTTCACCAAGCTTACAATTAAATTTCATGTATGAAATCACCAATGAAATCTGACAACAACTGTGTCATAAATGTTGTCTATTTTGCTCAAATAGCGTTCTAAAAAGCTTATTTCTCAGGCTAGACCAGCCAGTGCACAACTATAGTCCTGAGCGCAGCATGTCTCAGAACACTGATGCTGCGTCCCACTTCGCATACTAGTATTTAGTATGTCCCAAATCATAGTATGTTGAAAAGAGTATGCCAAAGATTCCCAGATGGTCTACTACTAGAGATTAAAATTCGAAGTGCAGATCGATGCACACTCTAACGGCTAATATTGCCCACAAC